TTAATCATATTTCCAACTGAGGTGAGCAGCCCACTTGGATTAGTACCTTCTGGAGCTGGAGAAAATATAATCACTGAATGGCAATTTGTTGGGAGATGAACAGAAGGCCACATTCCTAAACTTAATGATTCCAGTTACTTATTTAGATCATTTATTCAAATCTTAGTTTCTGCCTTTAAACTTCTAGGTGCAGACCAACACTGAGATGCATTGAAGGTTAAAAAAACAATATAATGGGAAAGCCAGGGTTGAAATAAGATGTAGAATACATGACAGACCAGGGGTCACCCTCACACCCAGGTTTCCAAGGTCTAGGTGGAAAACAGCAGGCAGATCTAGGGAAGCCCAGGGAGCAGGGTCCTGGATTCCACTGCCTTCCAATTAGCTTCCCAGGGATGGGGACGCACATGTCTGTGTCTAGACAGAAAATGAAGAGGAGAGCCCAGGTCGCAGGTAGAATGAGGAAACAAGAAATTCTTAGAGAGGCACTTATCAGACTGATAAGCAGCTTTCCTCTGATCTGAAAAACAACACAAGAAATAGGGGAGCTAGGAACTAGAATGTCTGCTACAAAGGAAACAGAAAAAATTCAGGAAGGAAAGCAGAACTTACTGATATTTGCCTGGAGATCATCTGAAAGAAAATGAAAAACAGTGTGAAACCCTGTCCCCAGAAAAGAAAAGACTGTGTGCCGGGAAGACCCCAGAATAAACACTTTGATACTAGAATTTCTACCTACACACCCACCCAACCCCACTAACTCTAGCTGTCCTCTCTGATCTCCTCACTTACCTTCTCTGGCCCAGGACCCTGTTTCTCCCTAGAGAGCTGGACCCCAGACTCTGACCCCTGTAGGTTGTCCCACTCACCACCAGGTCTGCACTTGCCCTGTGGGGTCTTACCAATGGCCTTCAGCGCCTCTTCCTTTCCCTGCTGTTCCTCCTCCTTAAGCCGCTATAGATGCTCCTTTTCCCGCCTCACCTGCATCCTTCTGGAATGTTCTTTTCTGATAAAATAGCTAGCCCCCAAGAGTAGGAGCCCCAGCACGGTCAGGATCACACCAAATGCTGGCTTCCAGGGAGAAGCCTGAGGGAAGAAGGGCTCTGTGGCCAGGCAGACAGAGGTCAGGGGCACACCCAGGAGAGCCAGCACACTCAGAGAGGCCAGCCCTCCCCACAGCTCTGCTGGGAGTGGGAAGCAGCACTGACCTGGGATGTAAATAGCCATGGCCTTCTCCTGGCCCAGGACAGGGTTGAGGACAGAGCAGGTCACAYTCCCCACAGAACTGTCTCTCACCACCAGAGTGGCCTCCACACTAAACAGCTCCTCASTGTCTTGGGTGTGGGCCTCAGAAAGTGCTGGGAACTTGTTTCCACTGAGGTCTCTCCACTGCACCTGGGGCTTTGGGAACCATCCTGAGGCTTTGCACACCACACACACTCCATCCTCTTCTGGCCCTTCTATGTGCACTTGGGGGGCAGAGCCCATCCCTGTGGGAAGGAAGCAGTGGAGCCCCAGGAGCCGCCTTGGGCCCTGAGACCCCAGAGTTGCCTAGATATTATACAACATCATTGGGGAAGCTTTCTTGTTGAATTCTGAGAGTTCTAGTGTAAGATCCCTTACCAGAGGGAATAGAAGGAAGGTGCACAGGGACCACTACACAGGGCAGTGGGCTCTTATCCCCAACTGTGAGGCCCAGAGCAAATAGGAATAATTTGGTCCCACACTCCCTCCTTGAATCTCAGTCTTCTCCCCTCACACACTCTCCTGGGACATCTGCTTCTCTGTGTATATCATGTCAAAGTTGTATTGAGTGACCACCTTGTCTCCTGAATTATTTTCCCCTATACTTATGTTCCCGTGAGTTATTTTTACCAGGTTTTCTCACATACATTTCAAACTCAAAACTCCACAACTGAATTCATAAATTTTCACCACTTGTGATAAAAATGGTTATTAAAATGTCCCCAATTCTTCACCCTTGTTTATAGCCAGTTCTCCCACTTCCACAGACGTTTTATTGCCTTTGCCTTATGCCTCTAGGCCCAGTCAAAGGATTTGACTTCACCAAGGAAAAATTAGCTATTGTGATTTGTGCAGAGGTCTCAAAAGCACTTGCACCTTGATTTTACCCTCTGCCATTTCCACAGGAGGACAATCCTGGGCTACCCAATGGAGGATGAACTCATGTAATATTGCTTGGTCAACCAGCTACAGCTGCCCTAGGTCAGCCACATGACCACCTGAAATGTGAGCACACTCAAATAAGGTGCATGTGGTGAACTTTTCAGCTTACTGTAAGAACAAACAAAAATTAAAAGTAAAATCTTAATTCTCCCTGTTGAATAAAAGAAGATACTCTTCCTTTTTCATATACCATTTGCTTTAGGAAACTACAATTACAAATAGGTACTTTCTCCACTTTTGAAATGTTTATACATGATTTTGAAAACTGGTTAGTTTTTATGCCAGCTTTGTGGCTCAGGAATGCCTTTCTCAAGGACCTGGGAACCATTTCTTGGAAATGTAAATATCAAGGAAGATAGCAACCCTTTGCGCCCTTTTCTGTGGAAAGGTAGGAGCCTACATTATGTGGGCATATTGTTCCAACTTGTAAAACTATCTGCTGTCATAAAACTGGAGAGTTTTATTTTTCTTCCAGATAAAGCCTATGACACAGCTCATTACCCAACTGCCAGGTAAATTTAGAATAAGTTACATGGAATAAATACTGCTTTGAGCCCTCTTAGTTGAGGATTAGTTATTGTTCATCTTCAAAACAGGTATGCAAGGGATTTTATATGCTTGGCTATAAAAAGAAAGATGAAAGTCATTTCTGTTTGTGTAATCCCTTATCAGATCAACCATGATATGTTTCATATTCTAGTTTGATGTTTATTCAGTAATAAAAGTGTTTTCTCCTAGCATGGAAGATTTTCTTTTAACTATGTTTCTGAAACATGACCAAAACTGTATGAGTAAACCCAGGTGATGTTAGGCAAGTTCAACCCCAATTAGTTGAACTCCCTCAGGGCTTGAAATAAATACATTTTTATTGCCAGATGTACCTGAGATTGTGGCTGTTTGTTACACAGCATTATCACAGCAGTAGAACTGAGACATATTTATCAATAGTCCTGCCACGAAACAACAAATAGTTCAAATAAACCCTGAAAGTCTCTGAAGTCTTCTCTTCCCCTTCCAAACTTTGTGCCTACAAATCTACTCAGTTGACTCTAGTTTCTAAACCTGTCTGACCCCTCCTCTCCCACCCCACTGCCATGCCTCAGGTCAGGCACTCATTCTCTCCACATCATAACTGCACTCCAGGCCTCCTTCTTGCTCACCTCCCATCCATCCATTCACAGCTGCCAACATGAGCATTCCCAGCATGGCTCTGTTTAGGATTCCCCCTACTCTGCTTCCAAACTCCATAACACAGCACACAAAGCCTTTACTGACCTGGTAACTGCCTTCCTCTCCAAAAGTTCCCTCCAAATTCTACCATCTGAGACCCTCAGGGCTCAAGAACTCAAGTAGCCACAATCACCATGTTGTCTTCTCTCTGCCTTTTCACCTTCCAGCCCATCAACCTCCAGGGCTCTTGTGCCAGCCCAGGTGTCCACTCCTAATGACCTCATCCTGACACCTGTGAGTGGTGTTAATACAGGACCATCTCTTTATTCCACTATTACCACTTCTTACCATCCTCCCCCTCACTCCTCCTACCAACCATGATGGCCTCATTATACCCAGAAAAATCAATCATACTCCTAATTCAGAGGTTTCATGCCAGGTGCTCCCTCTGCATTAAACTCTGGCCCCTCAGATATCCACCTGGCTAAATACCTACTTCCTTTGAGCCTTGCTCAGACTGTCAATATGTCTCTGCCTGAGCTCCTGTGTAACACTGCAGCTTGTCTTAACTTCCCAGCCCACACGTTGTGCCCCTCTCCTAGTTCTACTTGGTGTTTTGTCCTAAGTATTTCTCACCTTGTAACATCTTGTACTGAATGATTTATTATAATTTTTCTTCCTTTGTCTATAGAAGGTGACCTCATCATCTCTGGGTTCTCTCTTACACTGATATATGTCTGGTGCACAAAACAAGTCCCCACATATTTTAGATGTTCCATACCCATTGTTTGTATTAAATCAATGAATAAATGAATAAGTCATTCTTTCCTCATTTCACCTATAAAATGTGAGGCTAAATTACATGATCCCTCATATTCCCTCCAAACACAGTAATCCCAAGGTCTTTAGAAAAAAAGATCAAGTAACTAACCTGCCACCTTCAGTTCCAAATCAGCCTCTTCATAGAAGTCTCCATGTCTGAAGAAGCAGGTGTATATTCCATTGTCAGAAACCTGGACCTTGTGGATGTTCACAGCAGCCTGCCCCTGGGTGAGGAGGTTACTCAACCAGTGAGGTCCGCCCTCTGTATTCAGACTGCTCCTCAGTCTGTTCCTGTTGGTTCCAGTAGATGAACACTGCTTGTGAGAATGTGGAGCGGAACCACCCCAGTTCCATGTTCTCTGCATTCATGGCTGGGTCTAGGGAGCAGGGCAGTATGGCATCCTCACCCAGTGCTGCCACAATGGGGTGTTGAGCGCCCACAACTTTGAACTGTTCTGTTGATAGAGACATGGGGGGAGAAAGCTAGAGAGACACAGACCAAAAAATAGAGAACACATACCATCAGGCAGAAAGGCCACAAAAGCGGGGGAAGGGGCCACAAGAGATGACCAAGAGGTATAATGGATTTGGAAGAGATATTCTGACCATATGATGTGGCCCAGAAGTGATGCCAAAGACACTCCCTCATTGACCTCAGCTCCTGGTCCCAGGCCCTTCCATGAAGAAATCTCTAATGCGGTGGTTCTCAAAATTTCATGCACCTGAATCACTAGGATGCCTTATAGAGCACACATTACTGGACCCCATTCCAATAGCATCTCATTCAGTATATCTGCAGTGGGACAAACAATGTGTATTTGTTAGGAGTTCCCAGGGTAGTCCAGGGAGCACATCTTGGGAACTCCAGGACTAACTTGCCCTGTCTCAGGACAAACCTGAAAACAGACAAAGGGCACATCTTTTGCTCATTCAACCACATCCAGGAATTTCCCCTCTTACAATTCTAAATTTTTTTACTTCAGTAAAAAAAAATTATTTTCTACTCCATAGAAGGAGTAGAGAAATACACATGCACTTTAAAACAGAGTCAAAGGCTACTTATTGCTGTAAAAACCCTGCTCTCATCATTCACAGAAACCCCCATCACTGCATGTTCAAGAAGCAAGTTCACCTCACTCTCCACCCCCTTGGTGCTCTCAGTTTTCTGAGGCTACCACATGACTCCTAGGCAGGACACGCTGCAATGGGCCTACAAAAAGCTATTCTCAAACACTGTGCCTCTCCACTCTAGTCTCAGACACCATTAAATCTCAACTGGAGCATGACTAGGATTCCTGAGCCTCAGTGATCCATTTAACAGGTGAGCTATTCACACTGATGCTCTGCTCCAAATCTCCACATGGCTCCCCACTTCTCCCCAGACCAAACAAGGTGGACCCTCCTTGCCAAGACCTCTCTGAACTCACCTGCTGCTTCTCTCCCCATGGGCTCTAGGCCAGCAACACTGGCCTCTGAGCTTACTCACCCTTTAGCACATTGCCAGCTCTGCACAGGCTCCTCCTGCAGGAAACCACCTTCCAAATGGTCTTCACAGCTCACTCCTCCTTCTCCAGGGTTATGTTCCCATCTACACACCACCTCACTGAACACTGCTGCCTGCCCACACCTGCGTCCCATACACCCTGCCCTGCTGCATTTCCCATCATGGTCATCTCCTCCAACACACTTAGTCCTCTCTGCCTAGTTACATTTATTACTCATTCTATCCTTCTAGAAGGTAAACTTATTAACAGAAATTTTGCCTGATTCTTTCATATAATTGCACATAACACAGTCAACATTTTAATATTTGAGGAATAGAATTAATGAATGAATAATGCTTGAAGCACCAAAAAAAAAGGCAAGAAAAAAACTGAGGGAAGATGTATTTTCAAATATTTTTCTATCTTGCTTTTAAAAACCACATAGGAATACAGGTGGTGATACTCACCCATGGACAACTGGACAAGGAGAAGCAGGGAAGTGAGACAGCAAAGCAAGGAGTGACTGCAGTGCCCCTCCATATCTTTAGAGCTGGGGGGAGAGATGGGGATGAGCCCAAGACCTGCAGGCAGGAGGCAGGTCCAGCCCAGAGCTCCAGCACCTCAACATAGAGAGCACCTCAGGGCTGGACAGCAGTCCCCTGCTGGTTCATCACACTAACAGGGTGGTGGGGCCCCCCACAACCCTGACACTGACAAACAGCTGAGCCTGGGCTCCTTCCAGCTCTTCTGGAAAGACTGTGGGACCAGGAAACCATTACAGTTACCTGGTAAGAAACTGTTCCTTCCTTTCCCATCCCAACCACAGGGCAGCTCTACTTGGCCCAGAACACCAGGCTCTTCCTTTCCCTGTACCTGGAGCTCTGTGATAAAAGCCATTCCTCTCTCTCTCTGTTATTCACCCACCACTCATGACCCCCCAGAAAGGAGGGCCCAGAATCAGGGCCCTCATCAGGAAGGACATCCAGCTCCTGCTTCCCTCTTGTTCTGCCCCCTAATTATGCCCAGGTTTGGCCTGGACAGTGTCATTGACAGACACATCCTCAAGGAGGCTGTGGTGCTCATCACAGGGGCCCAGAACCCTGTCCTGCCTTTTAGATGTGGAGTTCACCTAAATATGAATCTCAACCCAGTCCCTTCCACTGCGGACTCAGGACATGGCACTGCATTTGGCAGGTGCCAAGCACTTCCCCACCAACAGGTTTGTACTTGCCTTCTTTTTCTTTGAGAAAGATTTTATACCTAAGAAATAAGACACCTATCTGGAGACAGGGCATAGAGATAATGAGTGCTGGTCAGAGAAAAGACCCCCAAACCACCTACTGTTTAGAAGGAAGAGGTAGAAGGTAATCTGTGGTATCAGGAAGAACAAATTCTGGGACCCAACCTTTAAGCTTCCATCCAGGCTCAGCCACTATCTCCATGAACTTTTTGACCTCAGTTTCCTTTGTCTGTCTGATGGGCATAGTCACAAAATCTACCATCCAAGTTGGTAATAAAAATGATGTGAATTTATAGTCACTACATGTAATTATAACAGCTCCTGGTCCAAGAAAATGTTATAGAAATATCACTAAAACAAATGAATAAAGGGACAACCCTCATTAGCTTCTCCTGGATCTTCCTAGAACGAATCTGTTCCACCTGCCCACCACACCTCTCACACCACTTCATTCTGACCTGCTCCCTGACACCAGCTTTTCCCTGGTTTCCTCCTCTTAGGTCATACGTGTCTTCATATCAACTTACCTGCTATTTCTTTCTCCCACCTATGAAAGGCTGTAACTTCCTGGAGTGTCTCTAACACAGCAGCTGGAGAAATTTCAGTCACAAGAACCCCATCAGACCCCAAATATGCCCTCAGAAATTTGCACCTGCCAAGCTGCTCTCAGAGCCCAAACCTCTGCCACTGAGTCCAATGCTGGGGGCCCAAACTCCTCATTTCCAAGATTCAGTTGGTCCAGGAAAAGGGAGAAAAATCAGTGCCTGGCCTAAGTTGCAGTAATCTCTGCAGAGTCTCTGACATGGGGATCCCACTAAGCCCTTCCAGTCAGAGGAGTAATCCCTCTCTGGCTCCTTTCCACCATCTAAAGCAAAAGCTTACAAAAGGAGCCTGGGCAGAGTATGCCCTGCCCTCTGGACATTGCTCCCTTTACCAGGAAGAAGGCAGCTGAACAGAGCATCAAAAAGAAGGTACCAACAATTTTCCTGGAACACTGCAAAAACACCGCACAATGCCACCACCAATCCCTGCCCAAAAGGCAGACTCCCTGAGGCCTACAGATGTCAGTGAAATCTTATAAAAAGAAGAAAACAAAATTATATTGAATCCCTACTAAGTATCAAGAACTGTGCTACATAAATTTTCTTATGGAATTTCATTATCACAACTGCAGAAATAAAGTCATAAGCCCTGCCAACTGGTAACATCAACCTAGTAACTTCCTAGAGGAGGTAGAGGCTAGATGTGCCAGGAGACTGCCTCCCCCACCACCACATCTGCAGCCCAGCATCAGCCCCTGCCCCAGGTAACTCAAGTGAGCAAGATCCTGAAAGGGACCTTGGACTCTCAGTTGCTCAATTACATGGCCAGAAAGCTTATCTCACCCTGACCTGAGCATTCTCCTTCCCAAGGTTGCCCTTTGCCCTCTGTTTGAGGAGGAGGGGGTGGAAGCTGTGACAAAGTGCAGGTCAGGTCTCCTTAAAGAACACGGGAAGAATCCTTGACCAGCACTGGCAGGGGAAGACAGAACATCAGCACTGTCCTCTCCCAGCTCATCAGGATCACTGTTCAGCTGCCTTGATAAGAAACACTATTCACTGAACCACAAATAATTTTTTTCTTGTATAAACATAAATTATCCTAATACTAATGAGGTTAATATGTGATTTCTTTTATGACCAACATGTAATAAATACATCTTATCTTTTTATCTTTTACCTATATTAAGTGCTTTCTAAATGGCTTCAGATAAATGCCTAAATCATAAAACAACAGTTAATGTAAAATGTATGAAATATTTTGGGATTCCAAAAATGTAACAGTTGATATAAAACACTTAACTCACCCAACCCCCACCTCCTTTCTGTTCATACTGGGGATTAATCTCATGCTAGGTAAGCCCTCTGCAAACCACATCCCTAGCCCTTTATAACCCCTTTTCTTAAGTATAGAGGACCATCCCTTTATTCTGACACTGCTAAGATGAGTTCACTGGATTATCTTCTACTATAGGAAAAGGTTTAAAGAAATGTTTTCTGGCTACTTATTTCTAGAAAAAAAATGAAAAAGAAAAAACATACAAGTTTATCAGTTTTATTTCAATTTTAAATTATCCCTCCAATCTTACCCAGCATGAACCTGGCTGATAGGCTGACCTGTGACCTGGTAGCCCACTAAGCAGAGTCCCAGTGGTATGGCAGTGCAAGCCCCATCTTCTGAGTTTGCCTATCTGCCTCTCTGGTGGTGAGGCTGTCACCTCCGAAACTGAATATCCAACCAGAAGTGGCTGACAGATCTCCTTGTGACTCTCACTCTCTTAATGGAGACAGGGCCTGGCCAAGCCCCACCTTGAATTCAGCTGCTGAGCCCTCCTAGCTGGGACACCTGCCCCACCTCGCTCTGCATGAGCAATCCACCCCCTTCTTCATCTGAGTTTCCAAGGGAGGTAAAGTATCCCTCCCACTCAAGCCCTGAGATAGAAAAGGGTAAGGGAGTGAGGCCAGAGAGAAAAAAAATATACATTCCTATAGAAAATTGAGTGAAATTCATTAGACTAATAAAAAACAAAAAAATACATAAAAATTTAAAAGGAAAGAGAGCAGATGGAGAGAAAGCTGGCATAAACAAAAGGAAGAAACAGGACTCTGTTCAACCCTAAGCACCACATACAAATAAATATAATTAAGGTATTGTGCCCTTTTACAACAAAAAATTTTATTGATTTTATTATTTTTTTTCAAAGTACAAATTATTTAATAGAAAATTAAGAGTTACAATTTGTTTGTAAACACATTCATATCTACTATACTTGTATGTAATAAAATACTTGTAAGTAAATTATAATAAGAAGGGTAAAGCAAAGATAAACATGTTAACTTCTAAGGATTATGAATAGATTTTATTACTAAAATGTCCACTAATATAGTTCTNTTTTCCCCCTATATATTTATATTGCTCTTGTATAGTTCCAAAGTCTCTCTTTTGTGGAGAAAGACAATGTTAACAGTTCACACTATCAATAGTACATCATCTAAGCAATTTTCCTTATTACTACATTTATAGCTAGACTCTATGTCTACAAATGTTGGTTTCGATTATTGTTTACAAATATAGTCATTAGTTTTATGAAAGGCATACCATTTCTGGTAGCTTGAAGAAAACTGAATTTCAGGTGTAGGCTGTTATGTTTATGGGGAAAGGAGTGAGGATATAGGGTTAATCTAACTTAGTAACTTTAGAGAGCTCTAATTAATAGATGGGTAATTTATGGAAGAATGTATAGATTCAAACTCCTATCTGTATTTAAAAGATTACCCTACTTATGAACAGTAAAATTTAGGGGGTTGCAAGTGGGATAGAGGGAGTAAGAGGGAGGAAAACAAACAACAAGGAAAGGAAGAGAAAAAAGAGAGCGGGGAAAAAGAAAATACGAGAAAAAAGAAAAGRAATAAAAAGGGGGAAGGGAGGTGGGGCATATGCAATTCCTCTATTGTATATTATTCTGGTGATTCCGTTGTTAAAGACCTTTTTCGTGCACAATTTTTGGTTTCACATATGTTGAGATTATGAAGACCCAAGGAGGAAGGGTAGAGGAGACTGGGTGAATGGCTAAAAAGAGAGAGAGAAGAGAGAAAAAGAAAGAAAAAAAGAAAAAATATCTCTCAGAACTCTGTTTTCATTTCTTCCAGTTGGTGGAGTTGTCTATTTCTAGCTTGAGTCTCTGGGTTCAGGACGGTGGTGGTAGTCAGTGTGAGAGGACTTGAGCTTCCACCTGTGGCCTCTCTACTCTTATTCTCTGAGATGTAAACCAGGTGCCTGATCCGCTGCAGAACCGCACTGGTAGCCACGCCAGCCAACCGGTTGGTGGGTTTTAAGTGTCGGTGGGATTTTCCAAGATGAGTTCCATCAGTTTTTCTCATAAGGTGTTTGATGAGGTGGGGGTGTTGGGGAAACCTAATGTTTGTCAAGAGCTCAATCAGGTGACCACACGGGCAGGCAGCAGGGCCCTTCCTCCAGTTGGAGTGGTCTGTCTACCACGACACTGGGCTGCTGGGCCCCTTCTCCAGGACGCGTGGTCTGCCTACCTTACAGGCGGCAGCTGGGCCCCTCCTCTAATAGGGGTGATGTGTCTACCACGCCAGCGGGCCACTGGGCCTGTTCTCCAGGTTGCAGGTCTGCCTACTGTGCAGGCGCCGGCGGTGACTGGGCCCTTCCTCCAATTGGGGGGATCTGTCTACCACACCGGCTGACTGCTGGGCCCCTTCTCCGGGAGGCGCGGTCTGCCTACCTTGCAGACGGGGGCTGGGCCCCTCCTCCAATAGGGGTGATCTGTCTACCATGCTGGTGGGCTTCTGGGCCTGTTCTCCAGGTCGCAAGTCTGCCTACCTTCTGATTTTATTATTTTTAAAATATACTACAGCAGTGGAATGCATTACAATTCTAAATACACATATATACCACAATTTTTCATATCTCTGTTTGTATATACAGTATGTTGACACCCAATTCAAGTCTTCATACATGTACTTTGGATAATGATGTCCATCACATTCCACTATCCTTGCTAATCCCCTGCCCCCTCCTTTTCCCTCCCACCCCACTTCCCTATCTAGAATTAATCTAATCCTCCCATGTTCTCCCTCTCTACCCAACTATGAGTCAACCCCTTTATATCAGAGAAAATATTCAGCATTTGTTTTTTGGTGGATTGGCTTACTTCACTTAGCATTATCTTCTCCAACGTCATCCATTTACCTGCAAATGCCATGAGTTTTTTTCTTTTTTAATGCTGAGTAAAATTCCATTGTGTATATGTGCCACATTTTTTTATCCATTCATATACTGAAAGACATCTAGTTTGGCTCCACAGTTCAGCTATTGTGAATTGTGCTGATATAAACATTGATGTGCCAAATTGATCGGCCCATATGTGTGACCCATCAGTGACCTGGGAAGAATTTACTGACCCTCCCAATCCCAGGTAGGTCAGGCCTATGTATAGTCAAGGGTGAAATAAGTGAGTCCCAGTGGAAGGGATTTCAGAACCAGGTCATGGAAAAAGGCCTAGAGGTATCAAATGTTGATCTCTGCCCCTCAGGAATTAAAGAGTGTCCTAGGGCAGGAGAGGCCCTGTCCTGCCCCAAGAAGGCACATTCTTTTTTTAATTATTGAAATGAATATTTTATTTTCATATTTGTGGAGTTTTTTGATTTTTATTTTAATTTTCTATGTCTGATAGCAGAATACAATATAATTATATTACACATATAGAGTACAATTAGCATTAGGCATTTGGTTTTGGGGGATTGGCTAACTTCATTTAACATTATAATTTCTAACTCCACTCATTTACCTGAAAATGCTACAATTTTACTCTTTTAATATTCCATTGTTTATATATACCACATTTTCTTTATCCATTCATCTACTGAAGGGCATCTAGGTTGGTTCAACAGTTCAGCTATTGTGACTGTGTCTCTGTAGTATCCTTTTTTTAAGTCCTTTTGGTATAGACCAAGGAATGGGCTAGCTGGGTCAAATGGTGGTTCCATGTCCAGTTTTCCAAAGAATCGCCTTACTGCTTTCCATATTGGCTGCGCCAATTTGCAGTTCCACCAGCAATGTATGAGTATATCTTTTTCCCCACATCCTCGCCAACATTTATATTTGTTGTATTCTTAATAACTGTCATTCTGACTGAAGTGAGATAAAATCTTGGAGTAGTTTTAATTTGCATTTCTCTAATTGCTAGAGATGTTGAACATTTTTTTCATATATTTGTTGATTGATTGCTTTTATTCTTCTGAGAAGTGTCTGTTCTGTTCCTTAAACTATTTATTGATCTGCGTATTTGTGCCAAATTACTACAAACTTAGTGGCTTTAACCAACACTAATATATTACTTTACATCTTTATAGGTCAGAAGTTCAAGAAAGTAGGGACAAGGCTGTGTTCCTTTCCGGAGGCTGTTGTCTTGCTCAGTTTCTAGAGACCATCTGTATTCTCACATTTGGGACCATGTTCTTCCATCTTCAAAGCCAGAAACACAGCATGTTTTTGACCTTGTTTTTGTGATTCTGTCTGCTTCTCTGACCACAGCCAAGAAAGGTCTCTGTTTACAAGAGTTCATGTGAGTAGTTTGGACTGACCCAGAGAATCTAGAATAATCTCAGCTCCAGAACCTGAATTTTAATCACATTTGTAAAGGTGTCTAGTCATGTATTTAACAAATTCACACTTTATGGAGTTTAGGACTATGGGTTCTATCATAGCGGGAAGTTTTTAAACTCTTCAGGCAATTCTTCTGGGAGACAAATGACTAGGTCCAATATTTTTGGGTTCTCCCATATGTGTAAGGATGTGTTTCTCCTATTGGTCTGTGAGAAGTGGAAGAAAAGTCACTAGTGTTGACCTCTCACTGCATATATTTGTTTCCTGCTCTGAATTTCTTTCGCTCCCATCCTAAAACACTCTCCATTGCCACCTAACTTGGCAAAATTTCTCTGAGTTCCCTGCACTCATGATTTGTAGTCATCATCCAAGTTCAGCTAAGCTAGATGTAATTCTTTACTCATGTCTTAGAGGCAACCTTACAAGTTCAGCACAGTCAGTTCTTTATAAGTAAAAGGAGGTCTTGGAAATTTTGATAACCTTAATTGTATCAAAAGATATCCTAGTTTTTAGGATGGTTGTATGTTTGGGCCTTGAGAAAGCATTATTTTGTAGTTAAATCTGAGCAGTGACCTTTCAGATTGCTATCCAGAATTCTGATCCCAGGGTGCTAAGCTCTTTGGCTTAGTCTTCATGGGAATGCTTCAGTGGCCTCTCCACACTTTATGTTTATGTGTGAGTTGTGTGTGTGTATGTGTGTGTGTGTGATTAAGAAATAAATACATCAGCTGAATGTTTCACACAGATTTTCCCTCCTTCCTTCCACATTGCTATGTTTCAGAAGACTGGGTGAATACCCTGATGTGTAGAGACTCTACAAATCCCTGATATGAAATATGTGTTCTCTCGTAGATTGGCAGAGGGAATGGTTCAAAGCCTATGAGTGACTGTGTGCTTCTAGATGTTCCTCCTTTTGCCCTCATAGCTTGTGGCTGCTCCTTAAGTTCTCTGTGGTGATTCAGATACTGGCATCACCAATGGTGTTACCACGGCAGAAGTGATGGTCACAAAACTGTTACCAAGGGTCCTGTCACATGTCAACCCCCAAGTCAGCCTTCTGGCTCCTCCTGGTTGAGCATGTGGGCTTGAGTTATAAGACTCATATCTCAGGAGGCTTATTCCCTCCTCAGCCTCCCAGGGATAGAGACCCACATTTCTGTGCCTAGATAGAAACAAGGAAAGAGATCACCACATCACAGGCAGGATAAGAAAACCAAGGATACCAGGAAAACCACTTACCAGACAGATAAGCAGCTTTCCTCTGATCTGCAAAACAACCCAGGAATTAGGCGAGGTGGAAACTAGAAAACGCACTACCAACAAATCATAGAAAATTAAAGAAGAAAGCAGAACTTTCTGAGATCTGCCTAGAGTTCATCTAAAAGAAAATGAAAAATAGTGTGAACCCTCATCCACAAGAAAAGAAAAGTCTGTGTGCCTGGAAAACCCCAGAAAAAAAACTTTGATACTAGAATTTCTACCTACATACCCACCCAACATCACTAGTCTGTCCTCTCTGATCTCCTCAGTCACCTCCTCTGGGCCTAGGACCTTGGATCTCACTAGAGAGGTGGACCCCAGACTCTGGCCCCCGTCAGCTGTCCAACTCACCACCAGGTTTGTACTTGCCCTGTGGGGGTCTCAGCAATGGCCTTCAGCAATTCTTCTTTTGCCTGCTGTTCCTTCTCCTTAAACATCCTTGTGAAATGTGCTTTTGTGACAAAATAGCTAGCCCCAAAGAGTAGGAGCCCCAGCATGGTCAGGATCACACCAAATGCTGGCTTCCAGGGAGAAGCCTGAGGGAAGAAGGGCTCTGTGGCCCAGGCAGACAGAGGTCAGGGGCACACCCAGGAGAGCCAGCACACCAGAGAGGCCAGCCCTCCCCACAGCTCTGCTGGGAGTGGTAAGCAGCACTGACCTGGGATGTAAATAGCCATGGCCTTCTCCTGGCCCAGGACAGGGTTGAGGACAGAGCAGGTCACATTCCCCACAGAACTGTCTCTCACCACCAGAGTGGCCTCCACTCTAAACAGCACCTCACTGTCTTGGGTGTGGGCCTCAGAAAGTGCTGGGAACTTGTTTCCACTGAGGTCTCTCCACTGCACCTGGGGCTTTGGGAACCATCCTGAGGCTTTGCACACCACACACACTCCATCCTCTTCTGGCCCTTCTATGCGCACTTGGGGGTCAGAGCCCATCCCTGTGGGAAGGAAGCTGAGGAGCCCCAGGAGGCTGCTTTGGGCCTTGAGACCCTAGAGTTGCCTACATATTATACAACATCAAGGGGGAAGCTTTCATGTTGAATTCTGGGAGTTCTAGGGGAAGAGGGAAGAAAAGGAAGGAACACAGAGACCCACTCAGGGCAGTGGGCTCTGCTCCCCAACTGTGAGGCTCAAAGCAAACAGGAATGATTTTGTCCCAGGGCTCCCTCCTTGAACCTCAGTCTTCTAACCTCACAAACTCTCCTGGGACATCTGTCTCTCTGTATATATCATAAAATTATATTGAGTGACCACCTTGTCTCCTGAATTCTCTTCCATAACACCCATATTCCCATGAGTTATCTTTATCAGGTTTCCTCCTTTCAAACTCAAAACTGCTCAACTGAATCCATAAATTTGTGCTACTTGTGATAAAACAACTATTAAAATCTCCCCAATTGCTTACCCTTCTTTATAGCCAGTTCTCCCACTTCCACAGACTTATTAATGCCTTTATCTTCTGCCTCTGGGCCCAGTCATGGGATTCAATTTGGCAATGTAAAATTAGCTAATGTGACTAGTGCAGAGGTTTGAAAAACACTTGCAATTTGGTTTTCCCCTCTACCTTTCCCACAGGAGGACAATCTTGGGCTACCCAGTGGAGGATGGACTCATGTAACATTGCCTGCTCAACCTGCTACAGCTGACCTAGGTCAGCCACATGACCACCTTAAACATGAGCATACCCAACTAAGGTGCACCTGGTGAACTTTTCAGCTGACTTAAGAACAAATAAAAATTACAAGTAAAAAAGTTAATTCTCCCTGTTGAATAAAAGAAGATTCTATTCCTTTTTCGTATAACATTTACTTTAGGAAATTGCAATTACAAATAGGCACTTTCTCCTCTTTTGAATTGTTGATACATGATTTTGAAAACTGGCTAGGGTTTTTGCCAGCTTTGTGGCTCAGTAATGTCTTTTTTAAAGACCTGGGAACCATTTCTTTGAAATGTAAAGGTCAGGGAAGATTGCAACCCTTTGCCCCCTTTTCTGTGGAAAGGTAAGTGACTAACTTATGTGGGCATCTTGCTCGAAGTTGTAAAACTACTTCCTGTCATAAAGCTAGAAGAATTTATTTTGTTTCCAGATAAATCCTATTTTATGACACAGATGATCTCCCAAACTACCAGGTAAATTTAGGATGAATTATGTGGAACAATAGTGCTTTGAATCCTCTTAGTTGAGGATTAGTTATTCTTCAACTTTGCAATAAGTTTACAGGAGATGATATATGCTTGGTTCTAAAAAGAAAGATGAAACTCCTTTCTGGTTGTGTAATTCGTTCACAGATCACCATAATATGTTTAACACTCTGGTTTGATGTTTATTCCATAATAAAAGTGTGTTCTCCTAGCATGAGAGATTTTGTTTTAATTATATTTCTCAAAAATGACAAACATGTAGGAGTAAACCCAGGTAAGATTAGGCAAGTTCAACCCCAAGTAGTTGAATTCTCTGAGTACCTGAACTACATACATTTTTATTGCCAGATGCACCTGAGATTGTGGCTGTTTGTTACACAGCATTATTACAGCAGTAAAACTGATGCATAATTATCAAGTGTGTCCTGCCATGAAAAAAACAAATGGTTCAAATAAAACCCTGGAAGTCTCATAATTCTTCTCTCCCCCTTCCAAACTTTGTGCCCGCAAATATACTCAGTTGACCCTAGTTTCAAAATCTGGTCTGACCCCTCCTCCCCCACCCCATTGTCATGCCTCAGGTCAGACAGTCATTCTCTCCACATCATAACTGCACTCCATGCCTCCTTTTTCTCACCTCCCATCCATCCATTCACAGCTGCCAACATGAGCATTCCCAGCATAGGTTGGTTTAGGATTCCCCCTACTCTGCATCCAAACGCCATAACACAGCACACAAACCTTTACTGACCTGGTAACTGCCTTCCTCTCTAAACACTTGTCCCCAACTCCACCATCTGAGACCCTCAGGGCCCTGACACTCAACCCCAAGAATTACCTGGTCAAATGCAAGTAGCTACAATCACCATGTTGTATGCGCCCTGCCTTTTCACCTTCCAGCCCATCAACATCTAGGGCTTTTGTGCCAGCCCAGGTGTCCACTCCTAATGACCTCATCCTGACACCTGTGAGTGGTGTTAAAACAGGATCATCTCTTTATTCCAGTAATACTACTTCTTACCATCTTCTCCCTCACTCCTACAATCAACCATGATGGCCTCATTATACATAGAATTATAAACCAAACTCCAACTCAAAGGTTTCATACCAGGTGCTCCCTCTGCATTAAACTCTGGCTAAAAACTTACTTCCTTTGAGCCTTGTCCAGACTGTCAATAAGACTCTGCCTGAGCCCCTATATAACACTGCAGCTTGTCCTAACTTCCCAGCCCAAATCCTGAGCCCCTATCTTAATTCTACTTGGTCTTTTATCTTAAGTACTTATCACCTTATAACATCTTGTCCAGAATTATTTATTATAACTTTTGTTCCTTTGTCTCTAGAAGGTGACCTCCTCACTGCTGGGATCTCTGTTACACTGATATATCTGTAGTGCACAGAACAAGTCCCCACATATTTTAGATGCCCCATATACAGTGTTTGTATTAAATCAATGAATAAAAGATGAGCCACTTTTTTCTTCCATTTCACCTATAAAATGTGAGGCTAAATTGGATGATCCTTGATATTCCCACCAAACCCAGTACTCCCAAGGTCTCTAGAATAGAGGTAAAGTAACTAACCTGCCACCTTCACTTCAAAATCAGCCTCATCATAGAAGCTTCCATGTCTGAAGAAGCAGGTGTACATTCCATTGTCAGAAACCCTAACATTGTGGATGTGCACAGAATAAGGCTGTGCACTCAATCAGGATGCCCCTCACCAGTGGGGTCCTTCCTATATACTCAGCCATCTGCTCCTCAGTCTGTTCCTGGTGGTTCCAGTAGATGAACACTACCTGTGATAATGTGCTGTGGAACCACCCCAGTTCCATGTTCTCTGCATTCATGGCTGGGACTAGGGCATAGAGCAGGATGGCATCCTCACCCAGCACTGCCACAATGAGGTGTTGAGGGCCAACAACCTGGAACTTCTCTGTGGACAGAGACAGGGCGGCGGGGGGGGGGGGAGCTAGAGAGACACAGACCAAAAAACATAGAATACACAACATCAGGTGGAAAGGCCAGGAAACCTGGGGCAGGGTCCACATGAGATGACCCCAGAGGTCTGATGAATTTGGAAGAGGTTTTCTGATCATAATGTTGTGGCCAGAAATTATACAAAAGACACTCCCTCATTGGCTTCTGCTTCTGGTCCCAGTCCCTCTCATGAAGTAATCTCAAATTCTCAAGCTTTCATGCACTGGAACCACTAGGATGCCTAATAGAGCACACATCACTGGACCCCATGTAAGAGCATCTCATTCACTAGATCTGGGGTGAACAAATGAATGTGCATGTACAAGGAGTCCCAAGGATGGTCTGGGGAGCACTCTTTGGAAACCCCAGGTCTAACTTGCCCTTTTTCAGGAAAACCTGAAAACAGACAAAGGGCACACCTGTGGCCTAGGTCAGCACTCTTTGGTCTTTCAAACAAACCTAGAAAATTCCCCTATTCCTATTCTAAATTTTTTACTTCAGTCTATATTTTTCTCCTCCACTGATGGAGGAGAGAAATATATATGCACTTTGAAACACAGAGTCAAATGCGACTTACTTCTGTGAAACTCCTGCTCTCCTGATTCACAGAAATGCCCATCACTGCATGTTCAACAAGCAAGTTCACCTCACTCTCCACCCCCTTGGTGCTCTTGGTCTTCTGAGGCTACCCACTGTAGCCTCCACTTGGCTCCCCACTTCTCCCCAGGCCTGACAAGGTGGGGAGAAGACACCTCTGAACTCACCTGCTTCTTCTCTCCCTATGGGCTCTAGGCCAGCAACAATGGCCTCTGAGCTTCCTCACACCTCAGCACACTACCAGCTCTGCAAGGCTCCTCCTGCTGCAGGAGCCCCCCCTTCCAAATGATCCTCACAGCTCACTCCTCCTTCTCCAGGATTATGTTCCCATCTACACACCATCTCACTGAACACTGCTGCCTGCCCACACCTGCCTCCCATGCCCCTGACTGCCCACACCCTGCCCTACTTCATTTCCCATCATGGTCATCTCCTCCAACACACTTAGGCTTCTCTACCTAGGTGCTTTTATTACTCACTCTCTCCTGCTAGAAGGTAAACTGTATTACAGAATTTTTGTCTGATTACTTCATACAATAGCACTTAAAAATCAACATTTCATTAATATTTCAGAAAGAAAATGAATGAATGAATGCTTGCAGCACCAAAAAAGGCAATAAAACAACAAAAAATGAGGGAAAGTGTATTTTCAAATGTTTTTCTATCTTAATTTTTAAAACCACAAAGGAATACAGATGGGGACACTCACCCATGGACAGCTGGACAAGGAGAAGCAGGGAAGTGAGACAGCAGAGCAAGGAGTGACTGCAGCGCCCCTCCATGTCTTTAGACCTGTGGAGAGAGATGGGGATGAGGGCCAAGACCTGCAGGCAGGAGGCAGGTCCAGCCCAGAACTCCAGCACCTCAGCATAGACAGCGGGCTCAGCTCTGGACAGCAGTCCCCTGCTAGAGAAAGCATTTCCTATTGGCACATCATACTAACAGGATGCTGGGCCCCACATAACCCTGACACTGACAAACAGCTGAGCCTGGCCTCCTTCCAGCTTTTCTGGGAAGACTGTGGGACCAGGAAAACATTAGAGTTACCTGGTATGAAACTGTTCCTTTCTTTCCCACCCCAACCACAGGGCAGCTCTACTATACCCAGAACACCAGACTCTTTTCTTCCCCATACCTGGAGCTCTGTGATGGAAGGCATTCCTCTATCTCTCTGTTATTCCATACTACTCATGACCCCCCCCAGAAAGGAGGGCCCAGAT